CCCCCCCCCCCCCCCCCCCCCAACGGAACAAAATGCCACACAAACTAATTTGTGTTTTTGCCCATGGAACAGGAAAATCTGTGTGATCTGCACTGCTTTTCTGAGACTCTCAAGCAAGAGGAACTCTCCAGCTAGAACTGGTTGAGTTGTCTTTTGTGTAGTTACCTGTACAATACCTGTCTACCCTGCAGTCCTTTTGCTTGTAGTAGCTCCTTACCATCAGAAGGTTTTTGGTGGGTGAGAAGATTGCACATTTGGATTCAGTGTGTACTACACAGCTGCTGTGAAGTCACGTGAATAGTATCTGAGTTCTTTTAGCATCTAGCTTGTCTGCTGAACATCCGTTGATAGAGGATTTTGTTTTGCCTGTGTGCTTTTTAACTCAGGTTTGCTTAAAATCAGTGTTGTAGTAGACCCAGAAGGCAGGGACAAGAGAGAGATTTAAGGCAAGCCCTTTCCAAGTTGAGGAACAATTCCCTTCCATTTTCTGCTTAATTACTGTAATTAGGTCTGCTTGTGGTATAACCCAAAATGAGATTCATTCAAATAACAACTGAAGGATGTACAATAAAAGAACATGTGAATTCTGCCTTACTGGTGTCCATAGCTGACTGGATGTCAGGACTGCTATGACAAGGTTTTAGGGCTCAGCTTTCTCTTGTGACCTTAGTAGAACTGAGTTTGAGTCCTGGAAATCCACTGCAGTACATGCAGCACATTCTCCCCTTTAGACATGAGTCTATTTTTTAAACTTCTGATGTTCCTCTTGACTAAAACAGGACTAAAAACACTTGCCAAATTTTAGTTAAGTAGGGGGAATGATAACTGTCCAATGCACAAAGGCCAGTTGTACTTTGGATTCTGTCTTGGGAGTTGAGAGGTGTTTTGCCGATTGCTGGGTCAAGTAGGCAGCTCTAATACTGACTTTATTTGTGAAGGATGTGTTAGGAAAAGGAGATGCAGGTAGGTGATGCAGCTCTTGGTGTGTTTAGGGGAGTCCAGTGCTACTTGCTTCACAGCCAATATTTTTCTTTAAAATGTATAACTTGTCATGTTTCCTACCCTGAAATCTGTCAGTATGGGACACTTAGGGGAGGGAGGGGAGTACTGTAAAATGTGTATATGGCAAAGTATGCACCTCCATGCACAATGCCCCGCCAGCTCCATGTTGGATTGGTGAGAATGCACAAAAATACTGGGACTGACTTTCTCTCCTCAAGCTAATTTTCCACCAGTGTAAGTTGTTGAAGTAAGTGAAGCTGTGCCCAGCCACTACAACAGTGCACATGAGCAGGATCAAGAACTCAGTGTGTAGTTTGGGTGGCTTTAATTGAAGTCACTGTATCAAGCACAAAGCTGGTATTACTTGTTTTGGGTAGAATGCCTTCCTATTAATGCTGGCAACTGTAATAAATCAAGCTGTCTAATTTGATAGGTTATTCCACTGTGGTTACAGTGACATCTAGTGGCTATTGTGTTTGGACAGAGACAAACTTGAAGACGAATTACATCAAAGTACATTGGTACCTGGTCTTGCTAATCCTGTCTGTTTTTAAATATGCTTCTGACATCCTGTTACTGCCATTCAGAAGCTCAGGGAAGCCCGTTCACCTTGTGTCCATGCCAGCAGGTGGCAAGCACTTTATTCCACCCACCCCACTCCTGAGAAGGTGCTCATAATAGGGCATAGTGTCCCAAGCCAGAGTTCCCAGTTGTGCTTTCTTCCTGGTTCCTCAGATATTGTACCATGCGTTTCAGTGCCAGGCTTCATCATCTAGAGCTCACTGATCCCAAGCACTGCCACACAGGAAAATGGTGCTCCAGCTATTAGACCTGGCTCAGACTGTGAGATTGACTAGCAAGGTTAAGGTTAGGGGAGACAAGAAACTAACTTGTAAGTAATCCTAACTACCCCATTTCCCTAAGCAGAAGGAAAATATCAGGCTGTAATTGTACTTTTAGTTGGCTAAAACTGAATTTAAACAATGGCTGTGCTTTCCTTGGGAGCTCACAAAAACATTTTATAGAGAAAAGCACCACATAAGTTCTCATTGTGAAGGATAAGTTTTATTTCATTCTCTTCTTTTCAAGATGGTCCTACAGAACAAAGAAATACAGAACACTATTCTCCCTTTGTTCCGCTCCTGGTAGCGTACAGTTGAGACCTATCCCGCTTGCATGTGCTTTGGTACTCTTTCCAAGACTATCCTCACACAAGAGGAGGACAGGTACTTGCCATAGTCAGGAAAGAACAACAGTGAAGTGCAAAGAAGCCTAAACTGTTTTGATTTGGGTATTTTTTGAGAATTGGGATCACATTTTTGCCTGAAGACATGTCACACAGGCAGTGCTGAGGCCTATGGCTGTATCATGCTATGGCTCAAACTTGAAGAATCCAAAATCTTGTGCAAGTTCTCAGGAGATTTTTTTTTTTTTTTTTTTTTTTTTTTTTT